ATTAAAACCACTAACAAATTTCATCCTCGTAGCACCAAGTGTATGTTTGTTGGGTACCCCTCTGGCACCAAAGGCTGGCGTGTGTATGATCTTGATAACCATCGTTTCTTTCACACTCGGGATATTGCTTTTGACGAGAGCACCTTCCCGTTTGCCACCCATCGCACGTCGGCCGAACCCCCTACCCCCATCCCATACGCCGATTTTCCCGAAATGCCCCAGCCCGCGTCATCCCTGGTCACTCCCGTCGGTCCACTGCCGGCGTCTGTTCCCGTCGAGCAGCCCGACCAGCCGATCCCAGGGGACGCACAGCCTTCCGATTCCAACCCAAGCCCTTCCGATACAGCCGCCGTTCCTTCTCTTCGTCCGCAACGGCAGCGTCGTCAGCCCTCCCACCTTAGTGATTACATCGTCAATTCTGTTCAATCTCACGCTCCGATGTGTTCGCCGCCTCCCCGGTCCTCTTCTTCAGGTACACATTATCCTATTGCCAACTTTGTTTGTTATCATAAATTACATGACAGGTATCGTGGTTTTCTTGGCGCCATCAGTCCGCACTTTGTTCCCAAAAATTATGCTGAGGCTGTTCCTTATGCAAACTGGCGGGCGGCTATGCAAACAGAGCTATTGGCGTTACAGAACAATCAGACTTGGGATATCACTACTTTACCACCTGATCAGACAGCTTTGGGGTGCCAATGGGTCTTTAAGACCAAATTCAACTCTGATGGCACTAAAGAACGGGACAAAGCACGACTGGTTGTCCTTGGCAACCATCAGACTTTGGGGGTTGATTACACAGATACTTTTTCTCAAGTTGCAAAAATGGGTTCGGTTCGAGTTTTGCTCTCTGTTGCCGCGGCACGAGGGTGGCATGTGCATCAGCTTGATGTTAACAACGCTTTTCTTCATGGTGATCTGATTGACGAGGTTTATATGCGTTTGCCACCTGGTTATGCACATCTTTATCTGGGAAAAGTGTATCGTCTGCGGAAGTCTTTATATGGATTGCGTCAATCACCCCGCAATTGGTTCGGGAAACTTACATGTGCTCTCAGGCGCTATGGCTTCCGCCAGGCTCATGCAGATCATACTCTTTTTATTCATCGTTGTGGACCGGATATTTTGGTTGTTCTAGTCTATGTTGATGACATTTTGGTTGCAGGTAACAATTCCACCCTTTGTGCTTCGTTCAAAGCTTATCTGCATCGATGTTTCAATCTTAAAGATTTGGGGCCCTTGTCATATTTTTTGGGTATTGAGTGTGCCCGTTCTGCGACGGGTATCGTTCTCTGTCAACACAAGTATGCTCTAGACATCCTCAATGAAGCGGGTCTCTTGGGATGTAAACCGGCCGATAGTCCTATCACCCCAAATCACGAGTTGAGCCGTTCTACCAGTCCCGAGCTGCGTGACCCAGCTCAGTACCGCCGGCTTGTGGGTCGCTTGATATATCTGACAATTACCAGGCCAGATCTCTCTTACTCGGTGCATGTCTTGTCCCAGTTTATGCATGCCCCACGGCTCGACCACATGGACGCCGCCCGACGTGTTCTTCGTTATCTAAAGGGTAATCCGGGACAGGGGATTCTTCTACGCAGTGATAGTTCTCTTCAGTTATCTGCATATTGTGACTCTGATTGGGCGTCTTGTCCACTTACCCGACGTTCTGTAAGTGGCTATTTTATTCTCCTCGGTGGTTCTCCGGTCTCCTGGAAAACTAAGAAGCAAACCACCGTGTCCCGGTCCTCGGCGGAGGCTGAGTATCGCTCCATGGCTAATGCGTGTGCAGAAATTCGTTGGANCCACGCTTGTTTTGTGACAACAAATCTGCTTTATTTATTGCTGCTAATCCTGTTTTCCATGAGCGCATGAAACACATCGACATTGATTGCCATATTGTTCGAGAGTGTGTACAGCGCGGTGAACTTGTCACATCTTATGTTCCTACTCGTCTTCAGATTGCTGATATCTTCACTAAAGCCCTAAACAGACCCCTATTTTCGTTCTTACTATCCAAGTTGGGCATTTGTGATATCCATGCTCCAACTTGAGGGGGAGTGTTAGCGTATATTTAGTTATTTATTTATTTCCTTGTAAGTTGTATTAGGAAACTTGCTTGTATATATACTTTGTGAATACTCAATGGAAATCAATTCAGTCTTTCACAAAATTCTACAATAATAATTTATGAACACAAATTTATTTTCGTTTGTATTACTATTACAAAATCATGTGTGATTCTCGTCTATGAAAGACAAGTATTCTTTTCTACAAAGGAGGGGATAATGGGATATACAAACTTAGATACAAAAACTTGAACACAGTGGAGGAAAAACGGTACGTTTCATAAAAATGCAGAAAAGCCAAAAACACATTTACTTCAAATGTATGGGATTCTTGACACCTTGCTATCCGTTTCTCCTGCTCTGCCAACTACGTGGTGCTCATGCAAGATCCATCCATGGCAGCAGCAGACGCACATCTCACCAAAATCAGTTGAAATTTCGATTTCGCCACCCCCTTTTCCCCCCATGAAGAGTTCTTCTTCTATATAGACACGCAAATCACTGCCGCAGTTCATTTCCTCTCGGATACTTTCCCATTTGCGGCTGTGAAATTTAACTAAAAATGGGTTCTTCCGGTAAGGGCAAGTTGGAGGTGGAGGAGCAGAGCGGCGCCGCCGTCTGCAGGACCGCACACAGCTTGTCTTCCTCCATCGTGAGGAAAAGATCCGACCCGGAACTCGTTTCTCGGATCCGGTTTCGGGTCATCCGCCAGCTCCTCGCAAATCTCCAGCAGGTGATTCTTGGGACCAAGCTCTGCGTGCTTTTTCCGGCCATCCCTCTCGCCATGCTCGCTCATCTCTACTGCTTCAAAAGGGTATGCCCAAATTCTTCACTCAAATCTAAAGTCCCATTCTTTTTCTTTTAATGGAAAACAATTTGTTCTTGCATTTGTTTATTGGAACATAGCCATGGATTTTTGCTCTGAGTTTACTGGGACTAGCCCCTCTTGCTGAAAGAGTCTGTTTCTTGACAGAGTAAGTTGGAATGAAGCTTAATTTACCAGATTCTTTCCTCTTTTAATCTAACATTTGACTCATTTGAGGTTTGTTTTGTGTAAATTGTGGAAAGGCAAATTGCTAATTACACCGGACCAACAGGTGAGTGAGAATTAATCCTCCTAATCAAGAACCCAACAAATTAAAAAGTGATTTTTTTAAAAAAAAATTAAAGAAAAATCAGATAAATATATAACTGAGGAAGATGGATGAATATAATGATGCAGTGGGAGGACTGCTAAATGCAACATGTGGGAATGCAACAGAGCTGATAATATCAATGCTTGCACTTCACCAGAGAAAGATTCATGTCCTCAAATACTCCCTCTTAGGCTCCATTCTTTCCAACCTTCTCCTCGTCCTCGGAACCTCTCTTTTCTCCGGCGGATTGGCCAATATCAAGGACCACCAGAGATTCGACCGAGTAAGTTTCGAACGAAAACAAAAACATGGATTCTTTCCGGCCCAAAATAAAACTCTCATTCGTATGTTTTGTTGTGGGGATTGGACAGAAGCAGAGTGATGTGAGCACGTCGATGATGTTGTTGGGGTTGCTGTGTGTGGCACTGCCGCTGATGGTCAGGTATTCGGTTGGGGAATCGGAATCCGCAGTGAGCTCAGCCGCAGCATTGTGGCTGTCCAGAGCAAACAGCAGTTTCATGCTCGGGGCCTATGCGGCGTACCTCTTCTTCCAACTCAAAACTCACCGACAGTTATTTGATTCTCCAGAGGTAAAAAAAGAAGACACAAATGGGTATATTGGGAGAAGTTCAGATGCATAAACAAATTAGGTTCAATATATATAAAAAGAAACAAGTTGGTATAGTACAATAAGCCTCTTTATCATATGTGTTTGATGGCAAATGATAGGATGAAGAAGATAATGGGTTAGAAGAAGAGGCGGAGATCGGATTGTGGAGTGCTTTGGTTTGGTTGATTGGTATGACACTCACAATTGCATTACTATCAGAGTATGTGGTTGGCACCATTGAGGTAACATATAGCGCAGACTATCGTATTCTCTGTATTTATTTCTTTCCACAATTCACAAGTTTTCATCTTTGAGAAAGAGTGATTCTTAACTCCCTAAACATACAAATTCTGATATGTAGAAATCACTTGTTCTTGTAAATGATCAGGAAGCCGCGGATACGTGGGGACTATCAGTGAGCTTTATCAGCTTAATTTTGCTACCCATTGTTGGGAATGCAGCAGAACATGCTGGCTCCATCATCTTTGCTTTCAAGAATAAGCTGGTAATCAATACAAAGCCCAAATATATAACCGCCATTTAAATAAAAATACAGAGTACTATTATTATACCTTTATCAATTGGTGTAAAAGGTTAATGCAATATGTATAAATGTGCATATGCAGGATATCGCTTTGGGTGTTGCATTGGGGTCTGCTTCTCAAATTTTGATGTTCGTGGTATGGACTTTCGTTTTTTGTGTGTTTTTCCCTTAGCGTCCATTGCCCATTGAGCTAAACGACTCATTTCGTCAACGTTTTAATTTTAGCTTCAGACAAATCAAAATAACGCATTAAAATATTCTCGCTTCTTACTTTTATAGAAGTGTTGGACAGTAAATGCATCAAGGGTCTAATAGAAACAACCTCTCTGTGTTTTTTATTAACAGGGGCAAGGTTGTACAAAGTATAAATTTTGACCCCAATTTACATTTTTTTTTGTTTTTAATGCTCTTCTTCTTCTTCTTCTTGAAGAAGCATCATATATGTACAACATACATATAATGTATATGTCCAGGTTCCATTGTGTGTGACTGTGGGGTGGATGATAGGGGTGAAAATGGACCTTGATTTTGGCCTTCTCGAAACGGCTTCTCTTGCTTTCTCCATCCTCGTAACCGCATTCACATTACAGGTCCGGCCTCCGCCACCCACCTCAAACCCCATATTTACATGTGATTACGAAGTACTATCGATCTATGTTAATTCACCGGTCTTTCAATTAATGACAAAGTTAGTAGTAATAATCATAATAGTAATATGGTATGCAGGAGGGAACTTCACACTACATGAAAGGACTAATTCTTTGCATGTCCTACCTTGTCATTGCCTCTTGCTTCTTCCTTCACAAACTACTCCCCACATGTGAGTCTTTTAGTAAGCTTACTATTATTGGGTTACGGTTATCAACACTGTCTTAGCCACTAAAGAGTCTGTTTTCTTTAGCTTATTCTTACTCGGTACTCCGTATTACTTATTCTTATTGGGACCAGACCAGATTAGAATAAATCATATCAGATCTTAACAAAATCAGATTAGATCCAGTCAGATCACACGAAGCAGCTCGAACTCAATATAGATGATTAGAGCTAGCTAGGGAGAGTATATATAATCAAACTAACTCCCAAAAACAAAATGTCCATAACTACTCAATTATTTTCTCTATGTAAATATAGATCACCATGATGACCCAAGAAGCACCGCCACCGGAGTGAAGACTGCCTGATTTCACCGGCGTCGGCACGGTATATCTCCACCGACCACCGCGATCTCGTGTATATATAGGTTGTCTTTCTTTTTTTACCTGTTTCTATTTTTAGGTTTTAGGGTATGTACAAGAGGAAAATATGTAAAAACTCGAGTGTTTTTTATTCGGAGGGTGGTGCATTTTGCATTATATAGAGATGAATAATTGTATTCATTAAATAACCACTCGTGCTAGGTTTACACCATGTTTTGTACGGGAAAACACTGGCTTTATACGAGTTTGTTTTGTAAGATGTAATGACTTTTTCTCATTGTCTCTTGATGGTTGAGTTACTCGCTCCGTCCCAAATTGTACACGGTTGAAGCGGGAAATGGACCGACGTATATTAAAAGAACCACATCGAAAATAAAAATATTACTCTATATAATTTTTTTTGTCAAGCTAATTCTACTAAAAATAATTTTTTCACGATTTTTCTTTCTGTAAAAGAAAATGAATGAGTGACATAGACGCACCTCAATCGCTGATGCATGAATCACAAAATCAAAGTGAAAGCACTTGGACAAACGAGTCTAGCATCTCAATCTCTTTTTAGCCAACTCAACCCAAACCACGGATGGGTAGCTCTTTTTTTGTTAAATCCACGTCTAACAACCAAGAAGAATCGAACCCGGACCAGATTTGCTCGAATACGATGTTAAAACTCCGACGGACCGAGAACAACGGGTAGAATATTGGATAAAATTACCCACTTGCATATAAAGTCAGGATCTACTATTCTAGCCCAAAAGCTTAAGTTGATACGTATCTTCACTCATCTATATATGCAAGTTATATTCTTCTTTATTTTTTGATGTGAGAACTCCAACACTCTTCCTCAAGTGCTAAGTAGCATGACTAGTCAGCATTTGGACAAACGGGTCTAGCATCTCAATCTTTTATAGCCAGCCCACACAATGAGCAGCGGCATTTCAATCTCTTTTAGCCAACTAAATCCAAACCATGCACGGGAAACACGTTTAAACCCATGTCCAAACAATTAGAAAAAATTGAACTCAAACCAGATATACTCTGATACCATGTTAAAATTTAGGTGGACCGAAACAACGGGTAGAATAAGCAAAGGTTGTTTGCTGTTTGCACTCCACTCACAAGTTAAGAGTGTTTTTACGTTCTTCGTCTCTCTCTCTCTCCCTCTCCAACTTGTGTAGAGTGAAGTGGATACATGTAGCTACTAGCTAGGGCATGTGATGGCTGATGGGGTTGGTGGAGGGAAAATCCAAAAGTAATTCCTTTTTTGCCTTTCATTTAATTTTGTGTTCTCTGTATAATATAGTTTACTTCCTTTTTTTGCCTTTTCCATTTCGTAATCCTAACAATTTTCTGTTAGGCACGTAAAATGGACTTAGAACGAGATTTTCTTGATTAAAGAATTAGGTCTGGGCTGCCAAAGAATCTGTCTCAATATAAATGACCCCATTCATTGTACATAACACATTACCACTACCAACTCTTCTATACTATACTATTAACTAAAACAAAAATATAAACTACTCCCTATGAATCTTTTGGTGAACTCAAGTTTAGTATATAGTATGAGTGAACCTATGTGAACAAAATTGCATGTACAAAAATATTGTTTGGATTGAAGGGAGCAAAAGTGAGGCAAACATGTTATGTGTCGTCATCATCTCCGTTGGAAATTGAGGTACTTGACGGATGCAGCAAAGACGGAGAAGAAGACGATGCTGAATCCGACAAGCACTAGGGCAGACCACCCTACCATCCCAGGTCCATACCCTAGGCTGATCCTCAAATACTCTTTCACCGTACCCTCATACCCGGGACCCGCAACCAACGTTTCCACATCGCCAAGTTGAGACGAGATGATCCCCCTCAGACTCCATGCGACGGGGGAGATATAGTAGAACCATATCCACCACCCTGGAATGCTCTGCGGAAATTGATTGAACAACAAAGACATATTATAACATAACATATAATGCAATCGGTACAAAAACTCTAACCAAAGACTCAAAGAGAGAGAGAGAGAGAGAGAGAGAGAGAGAGAGAGAAAAGAAGATTAAACAGATGGATGGATTACAGGTTTGGGAACGAGAAAGCCAGAGAGGAGATTCCACAATGAGTAGAATGCAGAGGAGAGAACGGCAGCAGTCTGCTGGTTTGATGTGAGTCCAACAGCCATCATTCCGTAAAAGGTGAAGTAGGTGAATGTTAAGAACATGAACACCAGATACAGGAGAAATTTCTCTGCAACATTCAAACCACGCTTCATCTAATTAGTTAATTGCGTTCTCTTCTGAAATTTCAAAAAAAAAAAAAACAGGAGCTCGACATTTGAAGGAGACAAGAGTGGTGAAAAATCATACCCACTGTCCTTTCGAAGTTGATCATGAAATATGTGATGAAGCCATATAGTACTGTCTGCACCAGAATGTATGGAATCTCAACAAGGCCCTATCAGCATAGGAAAGAAAATAACATCATTGCAGTTTTTCAAGTTAGAACATATTTGCTCATGCTTAACTTATTTATAAAGGAAACTGCCTTCAGAAGTTTGCCCCCAACTCCCCAAGCTTATACTACCCTCTTCACAACAACACAGAGTGAGGTTGTGAGCCCAATTCATGTGTCAGTGTGAAGAAAGAGGCAAACTTATGAGTAATTTAGAATTTTTGTAAGAAAAGAATTTTACATATTTCAAAATTTCAGATTTAAAAATTAAAGTTACCGAACGAAGGTCCTGACCTGAGCTGCTGCATAAGGGAGAGGTGAATACATGCCAGCTGCTCTTTCTCTGTAGAAAACTGTTCTCTCTATGGAAACTATTGGCTGTACAGATGAGGCATTGTTGACCCCTAAAAATAAGGCAGTTGAATACAGAGCTCCCATTACCACCATTAAGTTCTGCGTTGAGTCCCTGTGAAAGTTAAATCATCCAAGAGCACTCATTACTAAAATAAAAGAATCCTGCCTAGCCCTAAAAAAGGTCTTCGGAACTGACATTGAAGATGAAGTATCATTCCATCAGAAGGTTACCTTTTGGAACCAACACCCCAAAATACTGAGCCAATGATGAGTGCACTCATTAGAGTAAAAAATATCCTCACTGCATTGTATGCTGGACTTCTCCAGTACACGGTGTTGTGCTTCCAGAGACAGATTCTAAATTGAGAAAATGTATCTTGAGAATATATGGAGTCGAACTTCAAAGGTCCTGAGTTTTCAGGCGGAATGCTGAATCGTTGAATTGAAGCTTCAACTTCCCTACGTACACATAACAAATACATCCAAATGAGTGAAAATGCAAACGTAATATGAATAGAAAAGTAGCAGCAGTAAATCAAATATTTCTTGACGGGAGAGAATATCACCTGTACTGCTCAGAATTCCTATATAATACTGCAAAGTCTTGACCTATTCTTTCTTCGGCGGCAGGTGTAGTGATCTCAAGCACCCACGTTGCAGGATTGTAACCAGGAGGAATCTGGGGAGTCCCTGGCATACTCTACAAATTTTTGAAAAAGTGACCCGCTTTCATTAAGAACATTCATTTTGAAATTAATCCAAGCTAATCATTGGTCTGTTATGGTTAAAACTCACTATATTCATGTTTGGTTGGTTTGACTGGGCACAAAAATTAAGAAATTGAAAACTAAGGGTTGAAGTTATTTAGAAGATAGAGAAATAATGTGAGCTGTGTATTGTTTTTCTTAAGAGGAAACGAGTGATGATTTTGGGGAAAACAAAAAAAGAAAACGCGAGTTTTATTTAGAGAAGGTGGGAGTCAATCGAATGGATTGATCGGTCCTTCCTCGTAATGGGAACAAATGCTATAAATGAATAAGATTAATGGAAACAAGAGCATGCCTGAAAGTAGTTTATCATTGTTTGTGACTGCTGTCCAAGCTTTCCTCCATATATCATCTGTCCACCTCGTTTCATAAGAAGTAGCTACAAATTGAAACATTTAGTAAGCAGGCACTACTAATAAGTCCGTTTGGAATGCAGAAAACACTAGAGAAGAAAAATAGAGAGGAAACACAGGGGAATGACAAATTGCCTCAAGCTTAGTAACCATTTTTAAATATTTGTTCATACTCATTTTATTTAATTAAATATTTCTAATACAAACATATTAGGAAATCTGAATTTGTGTGAGCTTGTAACAGGTTTAATTAAAGTAAGTTTTCCTTCATATTTTCAAAGGTAAAACCAAATAATAAGAGATTATTTTCCAATGCATTTTTCCCTTTCCCTACCATTTACCGATTTCACCAAAAATAGCCTTAGATTTAAAGGCAACTGACCTCATCGAATGCTTCAAAAATCTCAATACTTGGTTGATGGATGGTACACACAACAGTTCTTCCAGTGTCAACAGTATTACGAACAGTTCGCATGACAATGGCTGCTGCACGAGCATCGAGTCCAGATGTAGGTTCATCCATAAAAATTATAGATGGGTTTGCCACAAGTTCCACTGCAATTGTTAAGCGTTTTCTTTGTTCTGTAGATAAGCCATGACTGCCTGGCAAGCCTACTATAGCATTCCTCAACGTATCAAGCTCGACTAATTCCATTACTTCTTCAACAAACTCCTGAAGGGAAAGAAATATGGGTTTGGGCGTGAATGTGTGATGTTAGAATCTCCGAGTAATTTGTTCACTAAAGGTACACGAGAGTGGCAATGCCAAACCTGTCTCTGTTTGTGGTTCACTTCCTTGGGCAGCCTTAGATAAGAAGAAAACCAGAGGGATTCAAAAACTGTAACTTGAGGAGAATGTATATCATTTTGTTCGACATATCCTGAAACTCTTGCAAAAGTGCGCTGTTCTTTAGGGTGACCCGATATCCTGATGTCACCTTCTATATATCCACCAGTCTTCCTACCAGCTAGAACATCCATCAGAGTGGTTTTCCCTGCTCCACTTGCCCCGACTAATGCTGTTAGAATGCCAGGTGAGAAAACTCCACTAACATTGGACAGTAGTTGCAACCTCTTTTGTGTTACACCTTGTGAAGCCATTTCCTACAAAAAGAAATTTTAATATTATATTATGTTCCCATGTAATAGAATTCAAAATCCAGATGGAGCAATAGTTGGCACAAGGATACCTTTGGCATGTCAACAAAGTAGTTGACCTTATAGAAAGTCATTGTTAACGGTTGAAATGGGAGAATCATCCCTTTTCTTTTACTTGCACTTTT